TTCATTTGATCATTGATCTGTTCGTTCTTTTGTTCGTTTATTCATTCGTTTGTTTTTTCACTACATCATTTATACATCCATTCATTAGCATTAACCCCTCTTTATCAATACAAAGCAAATCTACATTTCTCTCAGTAAAATACGAAGCGTGAACTACTACTAACCTGGCGCTCAAAGGTTTTTTCACCGGGTAGACAATAGAACGATGTCTCTCGATACTAATCGCAGCTAACGTCGTTCCAGACACAGTAACAAACGCGTAGTTCAAAGTGTTTACGAACTTGCACATCACCAAACCAAATATCCAGACGTCTTGCTCAAGATAAGCGAAGTCAAACGGGATGAACATCACTAAAACAATTAGGTCTGAGATAGCAAGATTCAGGATGAAGTAGCGAACCGATGGTCGAAAATCCCGACGACGATTTTGTAAAATCACGAAGGCTACAAGAAGATTTCCAAAGATTCCTAGCGCCAACACTAAAGGATAAAGACCAAGACGCATTACACGAAATGTGAAATCCATGGAATTTTGTATTAAGGTTTCGTTGCTCGAATTCATTGGTAAAGACATTTTTTCTTCCTCGTCGCTCGCCCGCAACTTCGAAGTCAATGCCACCGGCTTTCCTGTGCGTTGGACGAAGTATTTCACTCGGTATTCAATCGGCCTGTGATTGGTCAATCAAATACTAAGAATTTCTCAGTATGGGAGCGCTAAATGAAAGCCTTTGAGTATATCTATACTTGCATGTCCGTCGAATTGTCTACTTCCAACTAAGATTCACTTCCTCAAAACATGTAATCACAATTACCATTGCGGTAGGATAGCTCAGTGGTATGGCATCCAAACTATACCCTCCGTAGCTCGGTAACGAGGACAATAATGGACCATCCACCCATCAGTTAGCTAGACACTACCATGACAGATTAAGAGGCTTAAGACGTGAATAAAGATAGACACATTTGTCTTGTGACGATCTTTGAGGCATGCATAAATACCGTGCCCCTTATAGCGAGTGAGATCGGCGTTCTTAGCGTATTTGGATAGTCATGAACACCAACTAAATGGTAATCGTAGACAAAAGCTTCCGTCCAATTAGATCCACCACACTGATAATCCTCAAATATATCTGATCTTGTGTTTTCTATTATCGTCCTCGTTTTTCTGGCAATGAATGTATTGAGTATTGATCCCCAAGGGATTGTTTTAAAGCCATATAGATGGGATAGTGTTAATACTTGGTCGGGATCGACTTGGAAAAGAGATCCTATATTAGCTGGATAGATTACTGCAGAGGAAAAAAATAAGTGCAATTCTTTTGAACAATTTTGTGTGTTTTTTTTTTTATGCACAGACATTATGAGTGAGCGTCTGAAAGAAAAGACAATCTGTTTTGAACCATTTTTTATTAGTATGATGGCAAGCATTAATAAAGCCGTGAAAGGGAGGTTAATCGAGAAATCCCTTCCAGTGATAATAAGATGACATAAGAGTTATTCCAGAAACAAAGATGGGACAATTTTATTCAGTTGATTTTTAATCAAATCAGCAATGAATTCAGTTTCAATTGTTTATCCTTTCATCAGAGCGAGTTTTACTAAAAGTGCTTCTCACTAAAGAAAAACTTTATTCCCTTATTTTGAGCTTTGAATCGAACCGAAATGAAAGTTTTAATCACTTGTCGCTTGGAGAGCACCCCCAAGGCAGTTGAATCATATCAAACAGCTCATATAGATTATCTCGCTCTAAAAGCTTCCTGAGACAAGCAAATAACAAAAAGCTAGCATAGGACACAAATCTGAAGCGATAGGAAAATAAGCGCTCCGTAAAGTGTTGTAGAAATATTGTCTTGCTTTTCTCTTTATAAGCCAGTAAAGAAACGTTAAAGTCCACAATGAAAGACGTAAACGTTTTCGAAGCGTAGCTCCTTCATAAAAAGCTTGGTATATTGGTACAACCATAGGCAATGAGTGTAAAGCCGCATTCGTTTTGGTATCTTGCCAGTATTGCTTGGTTTAAACCTCGACTGGTAAAGAGAGTTGGCTTAAAACTCAATGAAAAATTCGTTTGATTCTCCAGTAAATGAGAACCCTTCTTTCTCACTACACCACCTCTCCTAAGCGACCACTTCCCCTTGCAACCTATCGCACTGAGAGACTATATGTCTTGTGCATATCTGGTAAGGGATTCCTTTTTTTTGTTGTTGTTGTTGCTTTATTGCAACAGACTGCCTCTGCTGAGTCTTTCTCCTAAACCACCATCTTATATACGACAGTGATTCAGTTTAATGCGTACGGTAGACCGTCAGTTTTCTTCAGGGTAGACAACCCACATGTCATATTCCGACCATCTCTTGTAGGCGAACGTATCTCGTTTACCGACATCTCTACTTAGACTTCCGTACCTCATATATCAATCACTTCGTGTAGATCTCTTCAGTTGCATTAACGCCGACCATCTCTTGTAGATGACCGTACCTCTATTTAAACGGTCGTACCTCATATATCAATCACTTCGTGTAGATCTCTTCAGTTGCATTTACGCCGACCATCTCTTGTAGATGACCGTATCTCTATTTAAACGGTCGTACCTCATATATCAATCACTTCGTGTAGATCTCTTCAGTTGCATTAACGCCGACCATCTCTCGTAGATGACCGTACCTCTATTTAAACGGTCGTACCTCATATATCAATCACTTCGTGTAGATCTCTTCAGTTGTATTACGCCGACCATGTCTTGTAGATGACCGTATCTCTACTTAAACGGTCGTATCTGATATACCGGCCATTTCCTGTAGATTACCAGCCACATCTCCTGTATATCTCCATCCTCATAAACCGGTATCTTTTCGACTCTATCCAACCATTTCTTAAAGACCGAACGTACGTATGTCGAACATCTCGCGAAGCGGCCTATACTTTCTATATTAAAATTTACTGCACAATTTCATCGTTAACTTGGGCACACTCCTTTAGAATATTTCTAGAACTCAACAACATTCTCTCATTCCATATGGCCAAGTTGTCGCGAAGCACTTAACCCTACGAATCAGCGAAAGCTTTCTTTAGTTCTAGGTGCACATGTTGGTATGTATCCGGCCACAGATATTATCTAGATCTGAAGGAAAACACTCAAATCCGTTTTGACTTTCCTATGTTGATAAAACCTGTCTGGGCTTCACTCTAGGATGTTTGAAACACTTTAAAATAAATTAAAACCTGTTTGTTTGCTTTATGCACTATTTTTCAAATAGAGCCTCGAGTCATTCTCTTTAGTACTATTTCCATATTCACCAGTGACGCTAGAGAAGCCAACAATGAAAAATGGATGCAACTTAACTGAACTGAAGAATCTTATACGCTTTTCTATGATAATTTATTAACCACTTGTTTTGTCTCTTTAGCACTATAAAAATACATTTAAAAAATAACTCGCACTTTGCAAGGATGTAGCTTTTCATTCGTCATCGAAAAACTCCATTAATTTTGAAGCTCAACACAATATAGTTTTTGTGCAACTCGGAATAAGGAAAAAGTAAGGTTAAATGTTGTTTGAAACGTGGCCGGAAACCTTTAAAATTTTAGATAGTCGCCATGATGCCTGGTATATATATTGTGCACAGATATTTAAAAGAAGAGATAACTAGCTAAAAACTAGTGTGAGCTGCGTCGGTGTTTCTAATGAAACAGTAATGATAGAAAGGTAAATTATGCACCGTGAAAAAATGAAAAAACGCCAGTACGTTTTTTTCATCTTTTCACGGTGTAAAATTTACCCTTTTATCATTACTTTTAGATATTTAAAAGGTTAAGATCAGACCATTCCAATAAAACAAATATTGATATTACTATAAAACACGTATTGTACATACTGCATAATGAATTGAGCATATATATTACTACCACAAAGTTTAAGGCCTCAAGATAATCGGCTTATATTGGTTGACCTGTCCATCATCATAAAGCATATATTGGCTTAACTTGTACTTGAATTGGCTTTCAATACAAACGACTTTAACTTTAACAATATCTTTTTTGTTGTAGTTGTTGTCATGCAATTCACCTTTTCGGCGCTAGCCGTCACGTGGTATAAATTGTGTTGGATTGTGTTACGGTCACCAAGAAGTTCGGACATTGTTCTCGGATTTCCATACAAATTCCCTGAGTTTAAAGAGAAAATCTAGGTAGATTTCTTTAGTTAGTTCTCTTAACAGCAGTAAGAAAAGCTTCAATCAAGCTAGAAAAATGATATTTTACTAGTATTTAGAGAACTAACTAAAGAAATCTATCTAAATTTTCTCTTTAAACTCYGTGAATTCGTATGGGAATCCGAGAACAATGTCCGAACTTCTTGGTGACCGTGACACAATCCAACACAATTTATACCACGTGACTGTTATCGCCGAAAAGGTTAATAAGATATACGTGGTATAAGATAATGAAATTCTAAATGAGTGGTTACAGAATTATTAATTTGGAGCTTATATTAATGATAATTACAGATTTACACTCTCTATTATGCTCAAACATTCAAACATAAACATTACTTTATCGTTGGTTTCGTGGCTTTTCTTCATATGATAATGAAATCAACCCAGCATGGTTGATATGACGTGACATGCACCTAAAGAATAAGCGAAATCCCCCCCACCCTCCCTCTCCCCATCTCCCTCCTCCCAAACGCGCTAAATTCCACTTCAATCTGTGAGCTGAGTTAGCTGTGCATTCAGATCAGCCCAGAATAAATTGTTTAGGGTTAAAAACTGATATTGAATAGTCGTCGCCAAAAAAATTCTTTAAAATCTGTATGACTTTTTCTGGAGACATGAGACCGATCAGTGCTTGTGATGTGTCTTTTACTGATGGATAAATTCATTCTAAATCCCTTAGATATCTGTTTATATGTCCAGGGTAAGCCGGTTGATCCTTAGATAACCTCTCTCTTGTCTTGATGTATTCAAAATGACTACTTGTCCTAGAATCCGCTCACGAAAAATCCCAGACTGATTAGAATCTGCTGATATTCATGCTACGATAAAAATGGACTTTTAGTAAAATATTTTTAAAATTGCAGTCAGGATTGAGATGGTTTTCGTTGAAGGACTTAAACTTTATGTCAACGTCTGAAACAAAACATCAAATTTTTGTGAGCTGGGGCGGTTTTAGGGGGGGGTT